TTTTTGGAAAAATTGACATGGGGATATGATTGATATTTCAATTAAGATTCAAATGCACCAAATTTCATGAAGATCCATTCACTATTGAGATTGTTTTTCAAAAAATGGCAGATATTTCACTTCACGAAATTTTCAAACCAAAAACACAGAAAAAAAAAAAGTCATATAAGTAAATTTACTCAATGATAAATCAAAATACCTAATGTATTCGATCGATGAAGCCTTGATGATCAAACTTCACTGATCAATTCGAAAATAAACGATCAATAAATGGATCAAAAATCAATTTTTTCATCGAATACAGTTCTTCGTTGCTGCTCAATTTTGGCCATAATCAACCTTAAATATTCATTTTTTTTGACAAATCTAAATAGGGAAAATTTTAGTGTTCAATAATGCATCAAAGCCCTCCATTTTCATGCATGTTCATGGGGTATTGAAGCTCAGATTGATAAAATGGCGGTAATCCCACAGTTTTAGAAATCCACCATTTTCAATCCACCAAAATATCGTTCTTCGATTTTGATTCAATAAACAGCTATTTATAGAAAATTTCAGGTGTATAAATGCAATAATTGATCAACAAAAACAAAAAAAAGTAAAAAATTAGAATAAAAAAAGGCTGCAAAATTCGATTCACGGTTTCTGCTACAAATAACGCTCGCTGTGTCAAATATCGGATATTGTTTGAGCTTATACCATTTTTTACATTAATTCCGGTGTTATATTGGTAAACCGGACTGGTTAGCAAAAACCGACTGGTTTCGAATGAAAACCGCCGGTTTGACCGTAAACCGGTCTGTTTTGGTACCAATTTTTTTTGGAGAGACCGAGATATTTATTACCACCATAAAACCGGCCGTAATCGGAGTCGGTACCTTGCCGATACCGATCTAACCGGCCAGTTTTGGTTCATACCGACTGGTTTTTGGCATTTGTATGACTCCAAATTTTGCACACACATTCTCTTCATCCTCATAATCAATCTTATGGGAGAAAAATTCAATTTACACCCTACATATGGTAAAAATTAGTACCCTCCAATAATGAATCTCGACCATCCATTCGATGAATTTCAAGATCTAGGCCTTGACAAATTCAAAATCACTTAATCTAATGATGATAACACTATATAAAAATTTAGGGAATAGAAAAATTCTTTTGAGGCCTATATCTAACCTTCTCATTAAAATTGACGACTTATATTATATGGGCTAGAAAAACACTTTTTACGGTGTTTTTTTCTATATATTATTATTGTTATTATTATTATTATTATTATTATTATTATTATTATTGTGATTATTTTTTTAGAATGAAAAGAGTATATATCTAAAAAATTGCGTCAAACAAATAATCTAACATGGTTTTTTAATATGGTTGCATTATACTATGATACAACCGTTATATACGTTAGAATTCGTGAGAGCATACAAGCACAGATATTGAATGGAGAATGGAGAGAGAATGAGAATGGAGAGAGAAGAAGAGAGAACATAACATTTACGTGGTTCAAGCCGAAGCCTTACGTCCACGGATCCAAAGCCCAACAGGCTACATCTTCACTATTTTAGATAAATGTTTACATCAATAAGTATCTCTAAATATAAAAGACAATCACACAATTACAAGAGATAAATATAGTATAATTCTTAGAGATAGAGGTAAATAGTAGAAGCGTTATCACCAAACTAACTTGATGACCAAGATATATACCATCACATCCATAATGATGTATATCAATATGAACCCGAGATATCCATATCCCAATACTCCCCCTCAAACTCAAGATGCTTTGTGTATCCATATCCCAACAATCCTCCCTCAAACTCAAGATGCGCCCAACAGGCTACATCTGCA